TCAATAGAGCAATTCATTTTCAGGGGGAAAGGCTTGTTAAGATGAATTTATTTAGAATGAATAAATGCCATGAGTTATTTAATTCCACCTAACATCTTTGTGTTGTGTAAAGTAGGGCATACCGGCTATGCCTCTGGAGGTTTGGACATAAATCATTACATTACAAATTAAAGGAAGCGAAGAGGAGACAGGTGCTCGGTGTAGCACAGAACATAGCAAACACAGCACTGGTCAGACTCTGTGCAGCAGCACATGCAGATACACTCTGCACGGAGATACATAGAATCAACACATATACCAGATCACAACATCATAATCCGTCTCAACATATCCAAACCCGACCTCGGGTGGCGAGCAGTGGTGGAACCAAGTATACGCATTTACTCTAAATTTGAGGTACTTGTACTTTACTTGGCACAGCCTGTGAATGCAGCACACAGGGGAAGGACCCAAATGCAGACAAAAGGAGGCAGAATAGCTCGGCTACGGTATCTAATGAGGAGATTGTAAAAAGCTATATTTGTTAGGTTGGTGTGTAGTTGATTGGGGCAAGACTGCAGCTAAACCCTACTCAACACTTACTGAGTCACAAGGCAGGCAAGGGTCAAAACCAGGAAGGAAGTCCCAACAGGCAAACAAATCCGAAGGGGCCGGCGAGAAATTGAAATTTCAAAAGATGTGACAGAAGTTCAGAACCAGCAGGTTAAAAGTTTCAGATTCCAGGTTTTCAAGTAACTGATGCTAGAATGCAAAGGCATGAGGCACATGGCCACTTTGACAAACTGAACACTGACATGAGGGAAAAGAGGCTGGCAGGGCTGATGGGGATGCTCAGGTGAGGGGAATGAGGTGATTGCAGGGCAGATGGGAGTGGCAAGATCTGGTACGACAGGAGAAAAGTTTGAGGGCATCTGGTGGACAGGTAAAGTATAACACCAAAGGGGCCCGCAAGAAATGTGGACATTGTGACATTACTAGCATTTCCATTCTATGCAACTTTATACTTCTACTGTACTGATATACACATATTGTACTTTTAACTCTACAAAATACTTCTTCCACACCTGATGAAAAGCAGTAGAGGTGTTTGGATAGCTCTGAGAGTGGAGAAGTGACCTAACCAGATAGTGTTAACTGACACGCAGCATTGGCTCACCTTTTTTTTCTAAGTAAGTGAAACCAAATAGAAACAGCGGTGAGGCACAAATGCGGCTCAGTTTCATTGTTTAGTTCAGCAAACTTCCAAAACTCTAACCGTGAGGAGCGGAGATCCACACGCCTTCAGTTCACATTCTCCAAATCTGACATTTCACTACCTTTTTAAGTTGATGTGGCAAACTTGTCAGCAAACAGCTGCCTATTTACACATCCAGCAAGTACGAAACAACACACACTTTCATCTCTAGTCATGTTTCTGGCCACCATGGCAAGCTAGAATTATGCCAGCAGGAGGAGACTCACTATTTTGTTCTTCAAGTGCACGTTGGCACCAGTCTGTGCTAACGATTGCAAAATTGATCGATAGCAGAGAAAAAATGCATTGAAATTGACATCAGCAGAATGAATGTGCAGAGTCAGTAAAACAGGTGGTGGCCAGGCCCATGAGAGCAATGCACGCTCTCTGCTTTACACAAGTATCTAGTTGAATATTGGGAAGATTTCTTATGCAAGACCTGAAGTGATCATTAATTTATGTTGTTTCGTAAACAGCTTTATTTTATTGGTACTTGAAATTGCTTTATTTGTGTGTTCGTGAAATGACTTTAATGTCCATTTTGCAATGGCTTCATGACCCAGTAGGCTGCAACCTTACCTTGTAAGTCACTTGATTTATCAGTGCTGTAAAACCTGTTTGCAAGTGAAATTTTACACTAAAAAGTACAAATGCAAGTTGTGCTTTAGCAGTTTTCTTTTAATTAGATAAAGTTTTATAGCTCTACAGTGTAGTAAATAAATCATTGCTTAAAGAGGAAACACACACACACACTCCCCTTTACGCACATTGCAAAAGCTGAGACCATATATCATTTGTCATTGACAATGCAATAAAACATTCCACCAAAAGAAAGATTGGAAGGAACTAAGAGGGAGAAATAGGGAGCCGATGTGACTTGAAAGTTCATATATTAGCATTATGGCGATATGATAATGAGGAATGGAAAGGAACCTGGACTCACCCTGCATACCAGGTTTGAAGCAACGGTACACTCTAGACATGGCAGAGAAGGACAGCAGTGTGTTTATGAATAAAACATAGAATCATAAAAAGAGAGTAAAACTTTGCTCCTTTAAAACAAGAATTTACAAGACAGAGTGCTTCCTTCTGCCCTCAGTTTTCAAGGACCTGGAAAGTTGAACACTCGGTTTTAGAAGCCACTGGGAAGCTGCCATTCAAACCATTCAACTTTTGTATTCTTCTTTATTGAAATAAGATTTATATACATGATTTCAACACTTCCTGTTGTGTTTACTGAAACTTTTTGTATGTGACTCTCTGTCAATCATGCTTTTAGTATCTGCTTTTACTAACTTTCTTTTCAAGAACTTCTACTTAATGGTTTACTATTTTATTACGGGAGTGAAGAGGTAATAAAGACACCTGGCTTGCTCCATTTGTTGATGAGATAAAGCACTTCACACCAGAGGAAGTGTGAGTCACTGCACTGCTTGGGGAGGGGAGAGGCAAGGCGGGGAGGGGAGTCAGAAAAGAAGGAAGAAGGGGTTAGGGAGGAGAGACAAGAAGACGAGACAAGAAGGGAGGAGATAAGAGGCTGAGTTAGTATTTAGGCTTTAGACATTGGCAGGAAGCCATAAAATGTAATTCAGCCTATGTGATGGCAGTGATTCTTCTCAACTTCACAGAGTTGAGTGGGTGTATAAGTATTAGAGTTAGCGAGCTATTTACAGACAGCCTTTTGAAGTTGCTTGGTTACCTTGGCAGTTTGAGCTTGTTGGGTTGGCATAACATGACAAGGTTAATGATGAAAAAAAAATTGAGATGTTTGCTAAATTTATGTTGAAATGTGAACACAAGACGCCAACAAAAACGCAGTAAAAATGTTAAAGCCATGACAGGTGGGGCAGCTGGGGCTCACGGGATAGAGCGGGTCGTCCTTTGATCAGAAAAGTTGACGGTTCGATTCCCGGCTCCTCCTGAGCCAGATGTCAAAGTGTCCTTGAGCGAGGCTCTGTACCTCAAGTTGCTGCCCGGGCACTTCACTGCAGCCATTTTTTCCGATGTTAAGGATGGGTTAAAAGCAGAGGTCGAATTTCATATATGCATGATGATAAGAAAATACAAGACAGCTGTTTGTCGGTAAAATGCTTGTTGTGCATGACTTTAACAACTTACACAAAAACTATGCAGAAAGGATGGGGACAGATGGAGGTCTTGACTAATGATATCAAAACTCATCACAGTGACAGATGGGGTCCTGTCAGAGGGAGAGAGTACTTTGGTCTCATAACTGAATCAATAGTATTGAAAACAAAGGGTTATGGTAGTTCCTTAAAAATGAAGTCTTACAGATCTTTTGGACTTTATGTTTTTCAATGTTATAACTTTTACAGTGTTGTAATGGTGTCATCTAACCATAGAGCTCTATTTTAACCATTTTTTTTTATTCCTCAAGGGAGCGGAGGAGTCAAGCAGAGTGATCAAAAGCGCCAGCCCCTCAGAGTTGAGCAGAGGAGCTTGAGTAATGTTGTAAGTAGCTGTCAAAAAGGCCTCTGAGAATTTGCTGGCAGAGACAGAGGTGAAAACACTGCTCAAGGACATGGATTTAAATGGATGCTTGTCTTCATCGAATTAAATGAAAATATTTAATAAGATGAATAAAGTCAACCCCAAGTCCAATGGGTAACTGGTGGCACAAGGAAGTTACAAATCTCATGGATCATAAGCATAATCGAGAGCAGCAGTTCAAGGTGTTCGCAGAGGATAAGGATCCCACCACCAGAGAACTCTTTGAAGTCAATATGGCAACATTAAAGGACGCTGGAGAGAATTTGAGATCAGTTCTGTGGACCATTGCTCCACCACCATAAATGACATAAAGATTTACATATACATTGATTATTTATTAGGTCTTTAGCAGCCAAAATCCACATATCTAAATCCCATATCAAACTGTATTAAACCCCAAATGGCCCATTGATTGTCCATGACCTGTTAACCTTCATTGTTTGATTTGCTCAGCATGCTGCAGCAAGTGTTCAGTCACAGCAGTCCGGAAAATAGTAATGAGAAAGGGCAGGGGATTCGTTGAAAGTATTTTAACGAGAAAGAGAGAGTTTAAGGGGAAAAGGACATTTAGGAATGACTCAATTTAGCTTTTAGCCTGCTGCTTACGCTGTTGGTGCTCCTTCCTAAATGACGTATCAGCCTGCAACTTCAGCTCCCATTTTGAAATTGTAGGCCCTTTCTGGCAGAAAGATTTAGTAATAGTAACAGCAATAGTAGTGTAAAGAGCAACAAAGTATAGGTCCATGTTTAATGAGTGGGTTGTGGTGGATGAAAGGTTCAAACTCAGGAAGTGACACCTGGGTCCCTGTCTCTGCCATATAAGCACTGGGGTGTAAACTGCCACATTGGCTTCTACCGCTTGCTGGGCTCTGTAAACAATGCTGGGCTAGAGTGTCCATCAGGAAAAGAATTCCCCAAATTCTCCAAAGAATTATTATCTCAGACTCTAGTCATTTCATCCATCTCTATCAAATTCATCAGCAAATGTGGACTGCTCTAAATTTTGGAAAGGATGCTTCCTGCTGTTCAGTTGGGAATGAGCAAAGGAGCCGAATGAGTGCTGTTGTAGTTACATAAGCTCATTACATGCACTCACACTCACTCGCTCCCTCTCTCACACACACACACACACACACACACACACAGGGACAACGCTATGTTGCATTTTGCTGCCTGCAGTCTTTCATTAACCTTGACTGTATTTCCACTGTGACCCCACTCCGGCCTCTCCCTCTCTCAGGCTGGACCAGGATAGGTTAAACATCAATACACAGGGCTGTGGCAGCATTTTATAGTTTGTATGTTATTGTTCTTGAATCCAGGTTAATTGTGTTGTTTCCCATCATTTATGGATAGCTTTAGATCTCATAAAGGCACCACTCTGCTGCTGCCTCTCACTGGGCTTAAGCACATTTCAATGGGAAACCGATTAGATCTTCAAACACCGTGGTACATCTCCCTTTCTAATAGGATAGCTTACAGGATAGTCGGCCGTGTTTCTACATGTTCAATCAATTTAAATGATTGCAACCATTTGTTGTACAAAATAAAGCCAATTGAAGCTTATGGAAAGCATGCTTTGCAACCCTGTAAGCTTCTTGTTTTCGGAGGGAGATTTATTTTGGTGTTGGAAAGCTAAATGATTGCCCCCGACAGGTCTGTGTTTAAGCTCAGTGAGAAACTGCAGCAAGGTAGTGAACCTATTGCTTAAATATCAAGTGACACTTCACTGTTAAATTACACTGCTACAAATAAGAGTTGTTTGAATCCTTGTACTGTCTGAGAGTACGTCAGGGTTGTAAACTTTCTCCGAAACCATCGAGCTGATCTGCAACAAATCTGAATCAATCATGAATTATTTAAACAGACGCCACCAATGCTGTGTTTGGTGGTTATGCAGCATATTTGACAACTTGAGAACTTGTGAAAATCACTTTGCCATTTCCCTTGTGCAAACATATTGTACCAAATACAATTCATTTGAAGTGCACTTCCAACTGCCGTCGCAGTAACCAGTGTGCATTGCTGCCACTCATGTGCTCTAAATTAGGTGGGATTTCAAATTAAGAGCACTGGATGAACTTGTGAGAGTATTATGGGAGAAACAAACTGGTCATGTGTAAATATTTACATGACACACTTATTGTATGTGCCTATACAGATGGACACGTTGCATTTTTCCATATGTATTATAATACACAGTACACATAATACAGTTGAAATTACTCCAAAAAATGTGTGTTTGAGAGACAAAATCAAGCAGATGTTAGTTAAAGCTGCACTGGAAGCTACAGAGCAGTGAGCCAATGGGATGCTACAGATTTGCTTCTGTAATTTTTCACTTGACTGCATCCCACTGCTCCGTAGACTGCCAAAATAATAATAATTACAAAATAATTGAAAGTGAGGCTATTCTCGAGGTATACTACCCAATTACGATATATTGACCTTTACTAAATACAGAGCGAATGTAAAGATGTGTTAAATGAGATTAAGCACCAAACTAATCCTTTTAAATGTTGATTCTTACATTGTTTAATTCACCAGGGATATGCAAAGCAATGCTTTGAAGTGTAACTCTACGATCTGACAGTTTAACATTGAGGTCATGGGTTTTGTCAAGTGTTTGTGAGTAGTCTGACTGATTTAGATTTATTTATTTTTGCCTTCAGGTGTAAGCAGATGAAACAAGCTCCAACCAAGTGATCTGAAAAGAGACTATTGATCATTCCAGGCTCTATACATGCTAAATAAAAAGGTGGGATAGTCATAGCTGTGAGCTAAATCCAATTCAGACTCTTAAATATGTTATAATCTGATTAAAATGTGTAGATAATGTTCCTTTATTGTTGTGGATTCTATCTTTTAAAATGTTACTGTGTGTGCATTTGAGCCTGCATGTGGATTGAGCCAACGTTTAAGTTAACAAATGAGGCGGGTCAGAGAGCCGAGCAAGAGGACGTGTCAACTGTCAAGTGGTTGTCAGGTTATGTAAATGCGGGGCGAAGGCAGGAACACAGCGAGGACACCGCGCTCAGGGAGCTGGAAAAAAATATGCGTCACCGTTCAAAATCAATCTCCATCGATCCTATGCAGCGACATGATCTTCCAATAGCCACTCACTGTCAAAGATACAACGCCACTCGCTTTCACACACCCCTCACAAATAAGCACAACTCAGTGGGCACAGATGAAAAAAAAATACATACATGTTTATTTTACAAGAAGGGCACATATTTGTTTTGTACAAACTGTAAACTAAATATTGTAATTATTCTGAGGGTTATAATCTTTGACATCACGTTCATGAATGAACACCAGAAACATGTAAATAAATAAATATATAAATAGTCAGTGACTGCTGCATCTTCCTGTAAATTATAATCCCACACTGGAGAAAACATACAGCGTGTAAGCTTGCTACACACATTAAGGATTCTTGAAGATAAAAAGCACTTGTGTTCATCACGACTACATTTTGAACATCATTGTACAATACTCTATCCCTGCACTCCCCCAACCCTAAATACTGCAATTTAATTTTGTACATGAAGCTTTGTCACTGAATTGATGTCGAGGTAGGGACTCCGTCATTATCCAGACAGTTTAAGTGAGCTGAAACATCACCACCACATCCCCAAGGCCCGGGAGTGTTGTTCGGCCCTACGTCTGCTGCGTCCCTTGGTCCGCCATCCGAGGGAGAAGATGGATTCTGCACTGTCACATTTGCTTAAGTTGTCATACGCCATGTAAGTACACTGATTGCGAGACCGTGTACTGTCACCACAGCTCCCCAAAGCAACATGTATAGGGCAGCCTGGAGGAAATGCTCTGGATCAAACAAAACATCTCGCTTGTGGGACTGTTGGCTGACATCGCCCTTCTCCAAAATCAAAGCAGTGGCATCTGGAAAGATGACTCACCGAGTTGACAAGGTGAGGGCTCAGGGGGGCTTTACATGGAGACAAAATACAGCAGAGATCATTTCAACTCACAGCTGGAGGTATGTTTCTATAAATGTGTACATACAGCATATACGAAAAAGCGTCTGGTAAACCTGTAAATGCCAATGATGTCACAACAAATGGCAGATTAATCTCTATATCATTAAGAATACCCCCACCCACTAAATGTCAGTTTATAAAACACTGGTTAAATCACAGCATAAGCTACAGTACAGTCACATTCAGCCAAAAGTAAACATTTTGGCAACAGCAATAATAATAATAATAATAAAACGGCCAGGTGGGGCTTTGATTCAGCGATTTAACTCAAACCACAGAAGGGAAACAGTAGGCCCTGTCTGTTTAATAAGAAATTCAATCTGTGTTAACATTGGGAACACTCATCAAGTCGACAGAGGCAGCCAAGAGAAAAGAAAAAGAGATGGAGAAAAGGGAGGGTGGGGTGGAGGTGGAGGGGGGAAACCAAATCTTCCCCAAGGCAGTTCCCCTCCATGTCCAGGCCTGACAGATTATGTGCAGTTCATGTTTTCTCGCATGTTTGAGCTGGCTTGTGTTGGGAAATAATTAGGGAGTAAATCAAGAAGAACTGATGAAGAGAGAAAAGGGAGAGTTACTGAGCTGATATGGTTGAGAGTTTCTAAAAGGCATGGGAGTAGAAGGGAACGTTTTAGTATTTGTGGCACTTGAAATAGAATTTGATTACTCGGAAAATTTAATTAATTCATAATAAAAGATCCCTAATCTAAATTCCGGTTCATAAATGTCTGTTTTAAAGTGATGGAGCAGCAGCTAGCAGCAGCCGAGAACAGGGCAGCAGAGAGGACAATGCTTTTGTGTCACAAGCCAAGTCACATATTGAGCTAAAAGCTTTCCCCTCCCTTTTTTTGCCATCTAGATAGCATTGGATTTTCCAGAGCAGGAAAATCAAATGCTTCATTCAAGACCAATTGCTTTCTATTGAATCAGCTCTTCCTTTCTCTGATGTGCAACAGTTTCACGCCTTCATGGACACACCGAGCACACGGTGGACGCTCAGCATACAATGTCAGAAAGCTTTCTGTTGTGCATTCTTTTCCCCAGCAACACTGAACACATCAAAGCTGTACAGGCTTCCACAGAGAGCTAATAATGTCTGATCATTATGTGTATAGGGTTTGCCTTTATTTAAACTCTGAAAACGCAATTTAATGTAATTCAAAGGATTAAAAAAACAGTGAGCCACATACTGTATATCTTTGACATTCTGAATTATGTTATGTAGAGATAATAAATAGCCCATGGGACTTTTTCCACACTCTCTAGATTCATGTTCTTATGTTCTTTGGCCTTTGTTTGTTTTTGGCACAAATACATGAAACTCAAACTTAAAATGATGTAACTTTTGAAAGAAGAAATAGCACAATTTTTGTCTTACAAAAGGAAAAGTTGAATTCATAAGCAATAACATAGAGCATTGCTCAATTAGATACACTCAGAGGTTTTGCTGCTGGTATGCCCAGTAATTTAGGGGGGCTAATGTTAGCTAATTTTAGCAAGCTATAGATTAGCTCTATAATGGACATTAGAGTCGCTAGCCCTACACTGGCCAATGGTAAGCAAATGTTCACATTGTCTCACTTGCTGTACTCAAACTCAACCTTGCATGTAAAACTACACATTGTAAATTATTATCATTATTATTAGAATAAAACATCAGTGCAATCAGTGCATATATATACGGTATATATATATAAATGCTACAGTGCATAAACAAATGACTGTGAGAGGAGTGGCAATAGAAATATGTTTGATATCTTGAAGGTGATCCTCACCACAGTGGTTTGTCTTGGACTCCACCCCTGCAAACACAGTCACACTGCATTGTTCTAAATCGCCACTACAGCACAGCATGGCTCCCAGCATGAGCGATTTACAAAATCACATATCTGCAAGTTGGCAAAAGGTCACTGAGTGTCACTTGCATTACAGCTAAGTAAACTCTGCTGCTGCTGCTTCTGCTGCTGCCTCTTCTGTCCGAGTGCAGGAGTTTTAGTTTACAGATTTACATTCTTGTTGAATTATGGACTGACGGCATTTGCGAAAAAATAGAATAAGAAGTATCACTTTAAGTGGGCAGAGTAATGAAATGGAGGGCTGCCAGGGGAGACGGTAAGGAGGAGGCAGACAGACGAAGAAAAACATAAAAGGAAGGTATGGTGCAGGTGTAAAAGGACCGTGCTGACTGAGCGAACAGTGGGGAGGAGGGAAGAGAGAAGAGGTTGACAGCGCTGAAGAAATAAGGGCAGCGTGAGGGAGGAAGGGACTTTGCTGACTGAGGAAAGAGGAGCTGGAAAATGGAAAGGAGAGGAGACTGTAGGGCCCAAGAGAGGGTTTGCTGAGGAGCGACAGAGAGGGGAGACAAAGCTAATGAAAACCAGGCGTAAAGAGACAAAATGGAGGAAACGTCTAATCTGTCCCAGGAGGACTTGTAGGATGGTCAGAATAGGATACAAGGAAAGGGAAGTAGACAATAGGAGTGACTTTTCCTTATCTGGAGATACTGTGAGATAACATGGGTAGGGGGGGTGTAAAAATGAAATATTCATAAATATATGACTTGGCATACGGTTCTGAACTGCATTATCTGCCCCCTGCCTGTTTTAGATTGAATAAGAATACTGTCACTTTGGTGTCTGAGGTGTTTTGATTTAGCAATAAAATTGTCATTAGAAATGTACTGAAGAGAAACAACTGCAACAAACAACTAATTATTCTGTACTGAAAATCAATTTACATTGCTCTCTCTTCCATAAAACACATACAAAGCACCTACCTACAAGACATTTTGCTAATAGTTACTACATCTTCCTCCACTGTATATACTGTGTTTAAGTCCTTCCAGGATTGTGTCAGTACTGTACAGTATACACATGCAGATGTATACATCTTTGTAAATGTAAAAACAAATGTATACATGTGCACAAAGCTAGTGTTCTGCTTTAATATTCACATTATCAACATTTATCATCAAATGTGTCAATTTCATCAATAAATGCTGAGAGTATTTTGCAGATAGTTATATCCAGGATAAAGTGCCTTTACTTTAAAACATTCTGTAGGTTTTTCCATGTAGATTTTTGTTGACAGTCTTAAGGTCCCGTATATCCCACTCAGTGTTTCCCTGTCAGGCATGTTCTTATTAAAGATAATCGTCTCTTTTGTTACGTTTGCCGTCCTCCTGTGTGAGCTTTTCTTCCCTTTGTGTGTACATCCATGCCTCGGTGTACTCCGATCAATATTTGCCTCCTCTCAACATTGCACGGTTTTATGCTGTCCGTTCTGTGTTATGGGATTGATCTTTTCCAGGGTGACCTCAGTGTCGCTGTCTAAATTCCCAGAGATGGCTGGGGAGAGTTTCTCCAGGGCGTTGTTTCCTATTCCCACCTCAATCTCCAGTCCGCATCCATCCTTCTTCTGTAACTCCTCCTCCTGACACAGGATGCTGTGGGGGATCACATAGTTGGCTGAATGGTTGCCCTCCTTCGGGATGTGACTCTTGGGCTGATACTGACAGTTGGGGTTCGAGTTGGGGGCGCCCATGTTGTTGTTAATGCTGACGATCTCGATGGAGTTGCTCCCAGGGCAGAGCCGGTGACAGCCCAGGAGGATGGAGAAGGCCTTGCGGAAGTCGGCGTTGAAGGCATAGATGATAGGATTTAGCGAGGAGTTCGCCCAGCCAAACCACACAAACACATCGAAGGTGGTGGAGCTGATGCAGAAGAAGTCTGTGGTACCGTCTGGCAAGTTCGGCTCGCAGAACGGAACCATGCAGTTAAGGATGAAGAAGGGCAACCAGCAGCACACAAACACTCCCATGATGACTGAGAGCGTCTTTAAGACTTTGGTTTCTCGCTTGAACGACATTTTGAATGAGCTCTCACTGTCAATGCTCGAACTATTCCCCATGCTGCTGTGGCGGTTTTTGGCACTCTCTGCTGCCCGCTCCAGGGCAGATATTCTCCGTATCTGTATCTGGGCAATACGGTAGATCCGGGTGTAGATGACGATCATGATAGCCACGGGAATGTAGAAGCTGATAAGGGAGGAGGAGATGGCGTAGGTCCTGTTAAGGCTGGAGTCGCAGTTGTCAGGGGGCAGATCGCCGGTGTATGTTCCATTCAGCTCTGCGTAGCTGGTGGTCTGAGCTTTGTGCCAGTTTAGCTGAACAGGAATGAAGGAGATGAGGACTGACAGGGTCCACGCCACACTGATCATCAGACATGCCACTTTAGGGGTCATCTTGCGTTCATAGCGGAACGGGCTCGAGATGGCCCAGTAACGGTCTACACTAATCACACACAGGTTCAAGATGGAGGCAGTGGAGCACATGATGTCAAACGCCACCCAGACGTTGCAGAACGCGCCAAACGGCCAGAATCCCACGATCTCAGTGGCCGCCTTCCACGGCATTACCAGGAGAGCTACCAGGAGGTCAGAGATGGCCAGCGAGATAACAAAGAAGTTGGTGACCTTCGACCTCAGGTGTCGGAACTTAGTGACGGCGACGCACACAAGTGTGTTGCCTAGCAGCGTGGTGAAGATGAGGAGGAAGAGGAAGCATCCTGTCAGCACACGTTTAGACGAGTCTCGGTCTGGCAGCAGCTGCTTTCCATCTTGTACCGTTGAGAAATTCTGATCCATTGTTTATATTACACTGCTAATAAAGTGAGATAGGGGGTGGGTGAGGGGGGTGTCAACAGTCACCCCATCACATCCCCAGCCTGCAGCAGCTGTGCCTCTCTGGGGAGGAGTTTTAGACGGACTGCGTGGCTGGTGGAGAGGTCAATTGTCTCGGCACCAGCTCTCCCACAGACTGGGTCATCCATAAGCTCCTTGTCACAACCACCATCTTTGCACGAAAACTGCTAAAAATATTTCAAAAATATCTCTTGACGCCCAAAAATACCTGGTTCGTAAATCCCTGCTGCAGCAGACATTCTAGATGGAAGAGGAGGAGGGATATTCCAGCTGATGTTTGCAGTTATTTTTCGAAGCACAGTCGTCATGAAATAGTATAAAGCAGCAGTAAAAATTAAGTTAAATAAAAAGTAAAGTCCTTGTTCATTTGTCTGCTCTCTCTGGATGCCTCAAAGTTTCACACCATATTGTCGCGGAGCTGTCGAGTAAACAGAGGCTTGGCCAATCATTAGCCTTATATACCACCTCATCAATAACTTCTATCGATGGTTTTCGCGCTGCGTTTATTTGATTTGTTTAATGATCCTCTAGGCGTGTCCGTGTGATTATGTTAGTGCCTGTATAGAAGCTGATCCACCCCAGCTAGGCGTCGTGTTGTTTTGTTTTTTTTTGGTGTTATTATTTATTGAATCCAGCTCCCTGTTACTACATGGCACAGCATTTCCAAAAATGAGTCACAAATTAGGCTGAAAACTGCATTCAAAAGTCTCAACAGTCCATTTCGAGATTCGAGATTAAATGTCTAAATTCATCACATGTAGGAAAGCACATCAAGCTCACCGCTCTTTTTATGCTGACATCTCGCTGTAATCCAGATGCGAGGCCGTTTTTCCCCCTTTGGCTTTAGTTCGCGTGCCCATTTGTGTGAACACAGCAAAACGACCGCTCAGCTTTCAAAAACATTCAAGAGTTATTTGGGCCACCCCACCTAAATTATCTCTGGCAATGAAATCCCTGGGTTGGCGTCTTAGAAACAGAGTCGCGAGTTTGTTTATATTGTTTTCTAAATCTTTAGACGGCGTGCGCTCCGCTCTGTGGATGTGGTCAGCTCGGGACCCACTTGAAAAATAATTGAATCCAAAATCAACTGTGTTAATTGAACTGACTAACAAAAATAATTCAGTCCCGCCAAAGTCCACATCTCCTCGGTATACATCCAATTTGTATCTTGGAACCAAGTGAAGGAGAAGGAGCTCACCCTCTCTGCGCACTCCTCCGTGGGAAGTCAGTCACGCTCCCCTGTTGCGACGGTCCTCAGGTGTTTTTATCACTCCACATGCGTCTCTTTATGGGTTCCTCCTCTGTTGTGCAAAATTCTGTTACCCTGTGATGTGTCTGCGGTCTGACTGGCCGGCGGAGAGTGATGTGAATGACTCGGTCTCTCCAAGACCCGTTTTCATGCGCGCTCCTCTCTCTCCGCTCAGCTGCAGCCTGCTGCTGTGCGCCACGGTCTTTGCCACAACTGCTCCATCTATCCAGGGAGGCTGTGAAGGGTAAAGCCACCCAAATTCACACCATAAAGCCCTATTTTTGTTTGCTCAAGAGAGCACATGATGACAAAAACCTTTCCGACCTACATTTACGACACATAAGTATTATTACGGGACAATATCTACAGAGGGAAAACATTAGCTTCCTTTTCTCAGTTTATCAAATTATGTAAATTTCTGCCTGAAACACGGTGGCTGTCATATTTGATATTTCTGACTCATAAATAGGCTACATCACAAACTCACTGTTACATGTTTTATAATACCAATAATGATTGTGTCCTCTTTATCGGCTTGCACTTTATTTTACACTTGACCTCCACCGACAACAACTGGGATATATATCACTGCTGTAAAGTCCCAAAAAGAAAAGAAGGGCTAAAAATGAAGGTGTCTTGATGTCCTGAGATGAACTTGTAGCCAGCAGGCATGCACACAGAGGCACAATGAGGCCATCTACTGGATACAAGATTGTGGGAGATTAAGTGAGAGTGGGAGCCGAGAGAGTGAGCTGCAGCGTCGTTGCATTAACGTCACCTCAATAAACATGACTGAACAACTCTGAATTAGATTAGAGTCACATGAGCCACTGCAGCAGGAAGACCCATGAAGTAAAAGAGACAGCAACTGTTGAGACATGTGTGTTTGTGTGTGTGTGTGTGTGTGTGTGTGTGTGTGTGTGTGTGTGTCTGTGTGTGTGTGTGTGCGTGTCTGTGTGTGTGTGTGTGTGAGTGAAGGAGGGAGTGTAGATGTGAATTGCAGAAGCTAATGCTATTATGCCGTTAGCTGCTGCCTGGCAGAAATCCTCAATGGACTCCGTCCTCCTGTGTCTGTTTGTGACCCTTGTTATGCATGTGTGTCTTTGTAAGTGTGCACCTATGACTGAGCATGTCTGTGTGTACATGTATTTTGTGTGTGTGTGTGTGTGTGTGTGTGTGTGTGTGGGTGTGTGTGGGTGTGTGTGTGTGTGTGAGTAATGCATGTAGACAAGCCAAGTGTAAGAGGCCTGGCAGACACAACGCCCACATTTCCCTGTAGCACAGAGCCAGGGTGTGCGTGCAGCCAACAAAGTTCAAACCAAGACCACGTCACACACAAAAACACACACACTGAGTCGCTCACTCACTCACACACGCACACACAAACAGCCATGCAGGGTAATTTATGTCTGCTCCAAAAAGCAAACAAAATAGAATAAAATGGAATAGAGTAGAAATGTCTTTTTGGGATGACTTTTTGCCTCATACATATATGGGTCAGATGTTTCATTTGTCCTTAAATCTTTCCAAATATGACTTTAAAGTATTTGCTGTGTCTGTGCTTTCCTAAAAACGCTAGAATTAAAAACAAAAGCCTACCCTGTAGTCGTTAGGCTCTGTGCATCTACATTCACATCAGCGTAAGTCTCTTATGATTCATTGAATGTCCTTTATGCATTTGCAATGAGCAGAGTCTTCTGATACACATCTGCTGGTTAATTCAAATGAATGCAGCAAGTTTGCTAATGAACCGGCGTCACAAAACTTTGTGTAACTTTTCATGACGCTCAGAGAGTGTGTCAGCTCGCCTCCTGACAGGAAGTTAATCAAGTGACTCCATTTGCCGTTCGGCTGACCCTCCGTCATGTCTACAGGCAATGAATCGGAGGGGATATACCTGAAACTCTCCGGAAAGATTTCTCACCGTGCCTGTATTGTACGCGTTGATCTCTGTGGGGGGAAAAGTGCCATCCTTTACTTTCATTTTTCAAGGATTCAGCCTAAACCCAGTCCAATTTAAAAATATTACCACAAGCAAAGAAACCAAATACTAAACAGGCTGTCGGGGGGCAAAATCTGCAGGGGACAGTTTAAAGATTAACGCTTGGTACTCACCACAGCTTTCATCAAAAACTACTGAATAAGGTTCCGACAACAATGCATATACTTTTATATCAAAGCTATCATGAAGGATATCTGCAGTCAGAAGGGGTGTGTGCAGCCAGGATGCATCATTCAGCATGCACACAGATGCATGTGCATGACAAATTGTTATTCATGCTCTAAAGTGCATTTCTTAAATCAAAACAAAGCTGGTTTCGTGCACCATCATATTTAAGGGACGTTCCTGAGTGTGTCTACTAAATGTTAGGTGTCTGCCTTCATTTGAAAATCACATCTGGTGCGGTAAATTTACAGCAGGTATTGTAGCAACCAATTCAAATGATAGCTTTTTTCATGACATTTACCAAAGGCAGCCTTCATTACTCATTAGCTGGAGCCTGTATATTTTTTTCAACAATAAGTCGGGCAATTACCTTAAAACAACAGTGAATACTGAGCTTCCTGTGATACAGATCTGTTCAGAAATTTTATTTAAAAATTGGCATAATCTTAAAGTGGTCAGGGATGACACAGCAAATCAAGTCAATGTCCAATCCAATCAGCTGTATCAATGATATGTTTGTTTACATAACTTAGTTTTTGAAATTATTGAGGTGAAAAGGCATCATCAGGATGTTTGACATCTGTAACCAAAGTCAAGAGAGTAAAACAACCCAAAACACAATCAGAAGCAACACCCTAGGTCAACAAAGTAGTAAAAAAAAAAAAAAGGTAACAATGTTAACGCCTCTTATGAGACTTGATGTTTGCTGACAGAACAGTTTGCTTTTTAAAGGCACATTGATTTTTCTGTGTACAAGTACAAGAAATCTCATTTACAGTGAACAGCGATAATAAAACATCAGCGGACATTTATGAGACTTCTATCAAAGTCATCGCTGCGAAATTACACCGTTTTTCAAGCCTGTCGTCAGCTTCAGATAATTCTCTGTAAAATGAGCAAATAAGAACATCATTAATCAACAAGACCTGTGTGTGTGTGTGTGTGTGTGTGTGTGTGTGTGTGTGTGTGTGTGT